TACCGGAGAGGAGAAAAAAAAAAAAAAAAAACGCACGGTCGGGTGTAGCCACGTGACTTCCGCCACTTACTCTCTTCTCTCCACTTCTCCGACCTCCGTCGGGTTTCGGTTTCGGTTTTGAGCAGTTGTGTCTTTTGGCTTTATTAAAAAAATACGTTACTCTGTTGCAAAATATTAATTGAGTAGTCCTCCGACACCATAATAAAGCGCCTGGCAAAAAATAAAAAAATTTTTTTGGGGGGTGTCAGTGTCCCTTTAAGGCTGCGGTACCACGGCGGCCATCTTGAACAAGACATTAGTTGAACCACCAGGGCGCCGTTGGCTGTCCGTGTGAGGAAACGCTGCGGAACCTGCGCGCCAATTTCGAAACCCTTTTTCCCGTCGCTTGCGACCTTGAGTTTCCCTCTCCGCTCTTACACCCCTCCTTTCACGTGTTCACCCTCTGGCGCGTCGCGCGTGCGTTCATTGTTGGGAGGACAATGTACCGGATAATCCCCAACTGGAGGCCCCCTGCCCCAACTTGTCCGGCTGCCAAGTGGATGGGGTTTTGAAGCGGTATGGAAAAGTGGGACCGGCAATTTTGAACTATGCTTTTTCGAAGTTGGACAATTTGTGTGCAGGGCTTGCAAAGGCACAGGCGCGAGTGCGTAACTGTTCACAATGCTTGGGTTGCAGGAGCACTTGCGCGTAGAAATGGTAGAAAGCGCTTTCCAAAAAACCACGCGCCCCCATTCTCCAGCGTTGCACGCCTATGTGTGAAAAAGGGTACACCTTCGATAATGCGTCAACGTCTCCCGACTTCGTGAGAGCAACAGGGTAAATATGAGTGCGCCCTGGGTGCCGGCCGTACGAAAGAGACGCCCTGCGCTTCCTGTCACCACTGCCTTTTCTTGTACGCACTGGCCATGGGCGGTTCTTTTATTTTTACCACCGGATAGCTTCATGGGGTTTTTGAAAATACAAACCTGCTCATCGTATTGCTGCACTACAGCTGTGTCAGGCCATTGTGCTGTAGTTTGAGATTGGGACGGTGTGGCTACATTCTTATTTCGTGTGTAATGCCAGCACAATATCCCTTTGCTGCGAAAGGGCAAAAAAAAAAAAAAATGGTAGGATCGGCAGCAAAAGTTATTTCAATGCCCGAATTACGATGAAACACCAGTAAGAACTAGTGTAAAAGAAGTCACATGGGCACAATAAAAAAAAGAAATCCTACAACAAGATGGTGGCGTCTAACGTAGTGAATTTAGAGTGTTTGTAATAGCTATAACCGTGATAATTATAATAACAATAATAATAATAATAACGGAAGCGGTGTTGTTCCCTCTGTATAGTGGTAACGTTACATTCAATTTGCCAGATGTGTTGGGACCTCTGATCAGGAGTGGCTGTGAGGTATTACTGGGACCGGACATTTCATCGGAGCTCTTTCATCGAACACCGCCTGGTTGACCAGTATAAATAATAGGCGAGGACAGCAGTGTTATAATACTAATTTTAATTTATTAGACTTCGTTTTTCAACGGAGTAGCGGAACTAATAAGAAAAAAACTTTATTTTTCTTTCCCATTATTTCTTTCATTTTCATTTTTTTTTATGTAGCTTCTGAAGGTACGAGACCTAAAAAAACAGAAAACACAAACTTAAAATTTCTTGAAACATTTAGTCATCGGGTGCAGCGACGGGGGCACGTCCCTTAGAGGGGGAATCTTCGTAATCAGTCACATTTTTCAATAGAGTGATTGTAATTGTAATCGGTAATTTTTTTTTCAGTAACGCGTACAAGACTGGCTGTATGAGACGTTATTTCTGCTTTGGGTTGCGATCTTTTGAGACAACTCCGAAAACACAGTGCACTGTTCCTTCTCACCGTTGCGATTACCTCCATCTTTCAGAACGAAGTACGCGTTCGAAAATAATCGTGGCCAGGTAACCGCAGCATTCCTCGATCAGAACTGAACCCGGAGCTACGTTTTTTTCAGCTTGTTCACCATCGATCGATTAGCAATGCTGACCTTGTAGGGGCTTTGCCAGGTTGACCACTCCCCCCACTCAAAACAAACAAACAAAAAAAGCATTTTCTAGAGGACGAACTATTGCGGTTGCCCTTGTGACGAATTCTCCTTGACGCATGTTCCGCAGCGGGCCTGTTACCAGTCGGCCTGTGATGAATCGTCCTGTGACGAATGAACCGTCCTGCATCGACCAAATATTCCTCCGGCTGCAAACCGGAGGAATATTACGGCCATCACGTATATAAAAGAAAAATGACACGGAACTGGAGGAAAATGAGGAAAAAGGGTCCGGGGAGCCGGGGGACACAACTGGTCGGTTGAATCATCGCCAGAACGCGGTCAGCTTTCATTCGGGGCGCAAAGCAAAAAAGGACAACGGTTTTTTTTTTCTTTTTTTGTAGAAAGTTACAGCCAAAAGAAACATCCTAGCCGACACTGAATCAGACGCTAGATCCGGAAGCATAAACTTGAGCACACATGTGCTTGACGCTGTCCTGCGGTTACACAACACTCGGAGCCGGTGCCCAAAACGGTCTACTAGAACGCGTTTTACGAGTCGCGCTCCGCATCCCGATGCGAGCTACGTGTTCGCCGGACCAATCACTTGCCTGCCTTTTATCAGCTGACCTCTCTGTCTCCGCGTGAGTATGCGGAGAGGGGGTGACCACGTGTCGCAAGGTTTCGGTTGAGTGGTCTAAGGAGCGTGCGGCTTCCACCTCACTGTCAGCGCGCAGTGTTGCCAAAGGTACAGGGGTGAGCGCATTCCCACCGGCGATGTAAGCAGTCGCGCGACGCGACTAGATGGCATCGCAAAAAGATTAGATGGTCCCACCGGCGTGCGCGATGAGCGAGGCCAACGCCTTCGTTGGCGAATCGTTTCTCGAAAACTCTCGCTCCGAACGCCGTTGATTGGCTCAGCCGATCCGCGACGAGATCGCATCGCAAAAAGTCGGGTCAGCAAGCGACTGCTCAAATCGGGTCGCTTTTTGGCCGCGATGGTCGCTTTTGCAATAAAAGTTATCGCGCGACTAGATCGCATCGCCGGTGTGAACGCACCTTTACACAAGCAGGTGAAGATGAGAGGGGGGGGGGGGGATTAGAAAAGTGCCCCCTTTTGTGTGTCGCCACGCCGTATCCTGGTCGCTAGTGTGCCCCTTGAAGATTAGCCCGTCACTCAACATTTATACAAAAGCGACTTTCCTCCCCCTCCCACAAGTGGCTTTCACAGTACTGGGCGCAATCTCTCGACCTTTTTCGTAAAAAGTAAAATATTCCTATTAGTTAGAAGGAAGACATACACACAAAAAGAATAGATGGACGTATTGGGTTCCTGTCTTGTCTTGTGTAGTCTTGTCTATTTCCTAACAGCCTCTAAGGCTGTCGTCTGTGTGTTTAGAAGCACTTGAAAGCTTGGGAGGTGTTTCTTTGTTCTCGACTTTTCACATTCTCGCCCTTTTCCCTTCCCTTCACCTATATAAACAATATACGATGGATACATTTAGTTTCTAGTTGGAGGTCTCTCCGTTTCTTCCTCGAGCGTGAATTGAGAGGTGAGTAGCAAGATTTATTTTTCGTAAGAGTTTAGATTTTTTTAATTCGTGCACAGTGTTACAAACTTTGTATCTGTCGCAGACATGATCTTCTCCAACGGCCCAGCGTCGCTAAACGGCTACCAACTGATCGGCGACTCCATGTTGTTGCGTTTAGCGGAACACTGCTCCGGACTAAGGCGACAACAAATTGGTACGTATAATTCGTGGGCGGCGCAGAAAAGCTCACGTCAAAACCGATGGATGCAGAGGAAAACTCATCTGCCTTTTGACGAGTGCGGGGAAAAGGTCACCTACGAAATCTAACAATCAATACTTGATATTCAATATTCGCGGCCCTACTGTGGGCTTTGATTTCTCTTTTCTGTTTTTATGTCGCACTTTGCTTTCCGCTCATTCTGCGCTTTTTTGTTTTCATATTCGTATAAGTATTTCTAAAATCAAGTGTTCGCGTTCAACCCCAGACGTTCCCTTCTGTGTCCGTTCCTTAGACTTTTTTTTTTTTTTTTTTTAATTTTCTGCACCACAGTCTTAGGACGCCATGATTACCTACCACCAGTTCGCCCGCGCACTCACGGTGTTTTCATCAGAAGACTGGCTTACTTTCTAAGAAAAAAATGAAGAAGCAGAAGAGTCCACAGTTTTGCAGAATGCATGAGAACAACAAAGTTGTCGACGCGTCTTTTTTCTAAGCTGCTTACTTCCACATGGAGACAGCCCCCTAAAAAGTGACAAGTCCGTCTTGTTCTACATCTCCGAAAGGGGTCATTGGTTTATCACAAAGCAAAGAAAAAAACAAAAAAACGGAGCAGAATATTGTTAGTTTTTATGCAAAAAAAAAAAAAAAACTATTTACAAAGGCGAGAAACAATCCGGCCAGAAACCATAACGTTCGATAAAACGGCGTTATATGAAACGGCTTCAATGAAACGACGTTCGATGAAATGGCCTTGATTGAACGGCGTCAATGAAATGCGTGCACCCACTCTGAACGTTCTGTCACGAAGCGACAGGCTGTGAAGAAAAATTGTTAGATCGGTTCGCAGAATCGTGGGTGAGCTTTTCTCTGCACCTATCGAAATTCTGGTGAGCTTTTCTCCGCATCCGCCGGGTTTCCGGTGAGCTTTACTCCGGTGACCTTTTCTCCGGGATTCATAATTCGTAGGCTTGCCTAATGCATGTATGCCGTCCTCTGTGTGTGTATCTGTTTTTTTGTTTTTTTTCCTTCCATGTCATGATATATCCTTGTTTTGAACGTCCTTTTCTGTCGCAGTGAGCTCTACGTTGGTGAGCGGGGCCACAGCAAGCCAGCTGCTTGATGTGGTGATGGAGGTGCCTATCGCCCCGCGCGTAATCCTAATGATCGGGACCAACGATTTGCGGGGCGAATGTGACGCGTGCAGCCTAATCTCTGACCTGGCCATCCTACTAGGGTGCTCACACTTTATGCGCAGAAGGTGGTGATACTGACGCTGCCTCCCATTGCGCTGCATCACCGTCGCGGAAGAAGCTGGCAAACAGTCAACAGGGTCAACCACTGGATCACTCACTGCGGAAGCAGTAAGTGCGGAACTTCGCCGGTTCGACAATTTGCCACTAATTTCGTTACTGTACCGATCGTTGTAGGTGTCACCATGCCAGTGGAGATCCATCGACCTTTCGTGGTACGGCGGACGAAAGTGCGATTTGACATGTATGCTAGGTAAGTTGTTCGAGCTTTACTGAAATCATGGAATCATAAAAGGCTTGCACAATTTGATCAAATTATAACAACCATTTCTATTAGGCGGTATGCTGGCAGAGGACGGCAGGACTTGGTCCACTGGAGCGCGGTTGGCATGGACGCCGTCGTGGGCTTACTGCACGTCGCCCTGCTGTGAGCTGCAAAAAGCTCGGAGTACCACCATCTCGATGAAGTGTCAAGGCTGGTTTGCGTAGTAGCTACCAGCTGCGATACGTGTGACTGACTTCATGCGAGCTCATGAGACGCCCAATGCATTTAGAAGTGTTCTTTTTTATACACACACGAGGAGGCTGCGCGTGCCCGTGCAGTGAACGCAGAGCCCTGTATATGTATAAAAAAGAACACCCCTAAAAATACTTGGCGTCTGATCTGCTCTCATGGAATCGCAGTCACACGTATCGCATCTGGTCGCTACTGTGTGAGCCGGCCTTTGGTCGTGGCTGTGGCATTCTAGTCGCCATGCAAAACCTGCACGTCTGTGCCACGTTTCACCTTACGTCCGAGCGGGGCCGCTGTAATGAGCCCAAAGGCCAATCGAACTGCGCAAAAAGCGCAACGTCATGGCGTGCTGTCTGCACTTGATATGACTAGCCGGCGGAGAAGCACGCACGGAGAGACGGCGAATACCGGCTGGTCCTATCAACTGCAGAAAGCACGCCATGACGTTGTGCCTCTTTCGCTGTTTGATTGGCCCTTCGGCTCATAATATCGGCCGCGCTCGGACCTAAGCTGAAACGAAGTATACACGAACTCATCTCTGTTACGTCACGGCGTGGTGGTGGCGCGTCGGTCGCACTTCCGGTCTGGGGCTGTGGGCGGAAGCCCCCATGCCAGACGTGTATTCCTGCGTTGTTTTGAAAGGAACCAGACAAAAACCTGCATTCTCGTCAAAACGCCGCGACTGGGGCCGCACCAAAAGTGTCGAGAAAGATTTGAAGGTCAGTTTTCACGTGCTCGGTTCGTCCGAGAATCTGGATATGTGCCGTGAAAAGGGAAAAGCAGACGCCGTCGGACAACGATTGCTTGGGCGGGAAGCACTTTGGGTTGAATTCACGGATACTTGTGGTCATCAGATTTATTTGTTTTGTTCCAACTTGAACGCCAGAAAACCGTCAAGTTGTGCAGACCACCTGCGGACTACGTTCAATGCGCCTTCAAGTTCAAACGTCCGCCTGATCGTTCGAACTGTCGTCTGCTCTTTCAAACGTTTCTGCTTGTCGTCTGCTCTCTGAGGCGACGCCGGCACGTAGACGAAATGTTGACTCGGTACTTGCGATAAGAAGTAAGTGCAGGCCTGAAAAGACTTGGCGTTTGAAGGTTGGTAAGCAGGCTCGATGTAAACATTAGATACAAAAAGCTGTTGATCATTGTTACCAGTGACCATCACCGACTTGTTATCCCTAATTCACTTGGTCCGGTTCTGCTTGCGATTTTCAGTATCGACGTCGCCTATCTCAGCTACGATTCACGCTTTTGCAGCCCGAGTGGCGTCGCGACTGAAAATTGCGAGCGAAATCGCATCAGGCTTTAGAGTACATACTGCTGCGTCCACGCGGAATGAAGCGCCACATGTCACGTTATTCACGCGAAGTTCTGCGGTGTAACGAGCCTCGGTAATTTCGCTGACGCCACTCAAGTAGTCAGACATCGCCAGGAAGAAGTAGAAACAACAATTCGAACGCGAAAAAGGGCAGGGGGACTCACACCGACGCCGACGAGCTTTTGCTCACACCCCCATCGCGCATGCGCGGCACCGGTGGCGTCCGCTAAGGGCGCTCCGGTTTGTTTGTAAACATGAGTTGGTGTTGGCTCATCCATCCGTCAGGCGACATCGCAGCACGCAACCGCTCGCGGGTTTATCTCGCCTACGGTGATTTTTCGGCGTTCGCGGGGAATCGACAATCGGCCTTTTGTATGTCCCGTGATCAGTGTGTGCGCTCAAGTGTTCATTATGTGTGTCCAAGTTCAAGCGGTGCGTGTTGTTTTTCGAACCGTGTCCGAATGATACAAGTATTCACGTTTCCATCTTGTGAGTGAGTGAAGTCGATTAGGGCTAGCATTGGACCAAGCAATGTGTCTGCTCAAGTTCAAGCGGTGTGTATTGTTACCTGTGTTCGAATAATACGAAGTGCCACGTTTTTATCCTGTGAGTGAAGCGAGTTGGTTAGTGCTGTGCTTTGTGCTTGTTGGCGCGATCAACGTTGGTGCTTTTTGAGTGTGAGTCCTCGAACGTCCGCAAGTTCAAGTTATAACTTGAACTTGCGGACGTTCAAGTTATAACTCCATCGGTGTGCTCAAGTTCAAGTTATAACTGGTGCTTGCGGTTTTCTTACTTTTTTTTTTATTATTTCTTAGCTACGAGTTCGAGTAAGGGCAATGTTCACAGTGAAGTAAGTTGGTTGGTTGGTCAGTGGTAGCAATCTTGCACGTTCGCTTGTTCTGTGTTATTTCGAAATAATATCTCCATGCTGCTCTCCTGGCAAAAAAATTTTTTTTTTCTTATTAGTGCGGTGTACTTTTGGTAAGGTCGCGTATTGTTCAGGTTGACAAAGTTCAGGAACGGCCGGCGTGTTACTTTCTTTTCCTTTTGCACTCAGCCCTGCGAGCCTGATGTCTGAAAAATCTAATAAAACATCTGTCCATCACGAATTGCCTGTCTTCTTTTTTTTTATGTTAGAAAACCACATGTGTTTTGGAGGGAGGCACGACTGAAACAGCTGACCCCGGCGAAGCTGCGGTAGCGATACCGACTAATGTTCGTCGGAGACGCTGCACTCATCGCAGAAGCGTGTACGTGGGGCACACAGATTTTATTGCAGTCGCAACTTATGCAGCCAACGCTGACGGACTCGTGCAACTTGGCGGTGATTGCAATTCTAGCATTTTGCTATCGAGTACGATCGTATAACAATATGGCAACGCTGCGAACGTCTTGCGACAAAGCCACGTCTTGATCAGAGCCCCCTGCTCGCCCTGCTCCATCCAGGGATTTTAGCCGCCCCAAAGGCCTCATTGCAATTGCCGTAAGCCATCCTTCGGACCACTTGAAACACGTGCCTTAGCCATTTAACTATCTATCATAATGTGATCGCACCTGCTCACCGTCAAAAAAAAATAAAAAATAAAATAAAGCCTCACAGGTGTCACTCCCTGAAGCACACGACATTTCGGACCGACCCGGTTTTTCCGAGGCTGGATTGGACGAGTGCGGTCGTGTTTTTGGGCGCTCCGTGTTTTCGACGTGGAAGACGCCTTGGCACGGACGGACTGCTGGGCCAGAATATCCTCTGAGCTTCTGGGTGAGAAACGCATGTCTCTTTGTAATATTCGGAGACGACAGGAAAGTTTTATCGATTGATTTATATCGCACAAACGAGTGAAGAAACCGGTGGGAGCTAGGCCTAACGCTCAGGCTGAACGCGGCCATGCAGCCGCAACAGGACGAGGATATGGCTAGAGACGAAGATCGTTCTAGAATGCACGACGAGAATATTCGCCGGTATCTTGAGGACCTAGCGAAGCAAAAAAAGGAAGAAGTGGATGCGGTTAACGCAGTTAAAGTGGCGGGATGGCAAACTGCCAGGAGTCGAAAGTACAACCGCAAGCTGAAGAAGGAGTTCACCGCGGCGGCTAAAAAGGATAGCCGAACTCACACGATCATACTGAGGGTACGTGAACTAAACGTCAATGGCCTCTCGAGAGGACATCTTTTAGGCGAAATCGCTAAAGCTGCAGGAGTGCAGGTTGCGGAAGCTTTCGCGGAGGACAGCCTATATATAAACAGCGCAAGCAACACAATCTCCATTCGCACGGACAACTCTGAGCGAGCAGGCAGGTACGTCGAGATCAAGGAGATCATAAGCAACAACAAGAAGATAGAAGTCCATGGACATGGAGCCATCCCGGGCGAATTTCAGCGAATAGTACTGACTAACGTGTACTACCCGTCGGACGTAGTCGACGAAGCCGAACTGTTGAATCATATGGTCAACTGCAACAAGCACACGGTGATCGTAGACGTGAAACGGATGGGAAGATCGATCCTGATTACCTTGGGAACAAGCAAGCTCCCCGCGTACATTAAGTTCTTTGGAGGAGTGTTCCCCTTCCACATCTACCGAGAAACCAAGAGAGCATGCATGAAATGCTGGAGATTAGGACACAGAATGGACGTATGCCCCGAGAAGGACAACGGAAGGTGCCCCAATTGTGGGGAATTTCACGAACACCCGCCAAGAGTCAGAGGTGTAAGAACGGAATACACGTGCACTCCTCGCTGCCTCATATGTGATGGTCAGCATTACACTGCCTGCAGGGAATGCAAGCAAAGATACGTAGAATTTCAGACGCCACGAGAAGCGAGAGAAGGAACCTTACCGAAGAAGACAGACTTCACTGCAACTCTGCCAGGCCAAGAATCCAAGGGAGAAACTGCGCCCAAACCCAAGGAGGGATATGCGCAAGCACTCCGAAAGCAAGAAACTGACAAGAAGGAAACGGAATTGGATAAGCTCCGCAAGGAGATGGAAAGGAAATTCGATGCCATGCGCATAGAGTATCAAACTCTAAAGAGGGAAAAGCTTGCTGCGGAGAGGGAGATCCAGGAACTTCGACAAAAGCTTCAAGAAGCCATGACCCCGCAGCGACAAGAAGCCGGACCATCTGAAATGCAGACGCAGCCAGTGACACGGGACCCGAGAAAGAAGGCGGCACCAGTGATGCAAATGGAAACCGAAGACGCACAATCCGAAGTACGTGTTGCCGAGAAACGAAGAAGCAGAGCCGACTCCGAAAGCACGGACGTGTCGGTATGCACGGATGCAGAGGATGGCTCGAACACACGCAAGAGGACGGACGAATTGTACGCAATGATGCGAGACGTGATCAAGGGAATGTCCGCTCTGAACGACAGTGTGAGCACTCTGCAGAACAACGTGAGCGCTCTAAAGAACACTGTGATCGCTCTACAGAACTCGTGCGAGGAAAGATTCCGCAAGATTGAGACGCACATAGGACTGATACCGTCAGCGTCACACGCCCAAAATAGAAGGTAGAGGCGGACTCAAGATCTGGCAGTGGAATGCGGGTGGTCTTGGTACCAAGATCAACTCGCTCAAGATGATACTGATGGACAGCAAACCACCACCCGATGTACTGGCACTTCAAGAAACGGATACGAACGGCAGTATACCCGGATACGACAGGTTTGATACGGAACAAGGCACAACGGGGAAAAACATTTGCACGTTCGTCAGGTGAGACTT